TGTACTCTCCCACCCAGCCCACCCACCTTGTTATTTTGGTTGACATTTTCACTTTTTCCCCAGTATTTTTTATCCATTTGATGTCAGTCTGTGGTTTTTGTCAGATCAGCTTACTTGTGGGTATATTATCCCCGTGAATTGTTTTCTCTTTCACAATATTAACATATTCAATGAATCCATTTGTCAACTCGTTTTTCTCAATTTTCACAACTGGTACTATGTCACTAGCTACCTGATATGGCCAATTCCCCTGTAACTCAATAGTCCTTTAATACAGAGTTTAACTCTATAGAGCTGGTGATTTTTAGACCGTTACTGTAAGCAAAATGCATGTAGTAGATATCTTATCATGGAACCTGTATTCATGGAATTGAAATAGAGTGCTCAGTTGCCAATTCCCTTTATTCATAATCTCTCTTTACATAGAACACACAAGAACCATATTTCCCTCAATGTAAATTGCTGCTTTTAAATATATATTTTCAGTTTGAATTTAGTGACATCTCTTCAGTTAAACTTGCTGGTTACCAGTAAACACCTTAAATACCAGTCAGTGGTGACTGCATCACAATTGAGTAAAATGACTTTCTTGTTCAGCTGTTACAGACCTAGATTGTTAGGGTGCCTCAGAATGTCTCATCTTTTGTAGGTGGTCAGCAGGTAGGTACTATTTATCATGTAACTAACTACTGGGACACTGGAATGTACCTGACTAAGAATTATTTTGTCTTATTTTTATATTCACATAAATCCAAGTATCCCATCTAAAACACATAAATACCTAGTCTGAAATGCCTGTACTTCCTCAACCAAGTCAGAGATGAGATGGGGCAAGTAAAAGATGGTTCTCTATGTAGATATTAGCTTTTTGTAAAGATCATAACTGTTGAGTATAAAGTAGGAATAAGTGTAGTTAGACATTTGTTCTACAAATTGTTAACCTTTAAAAATATAATTGCTGCTGAAAATAGTGCTGTTATAAGGAAAATCAGTGCCAGCATTTTGAAACTGAGCTCTTGTGCCATAAAAGCAGCTGAGCTAAGTACGATTATTACTTCACAAATTAATGCTGTCAAAGGAATGAGTAAGACAGAAACACTTTAAACCAGTGACATTTCATTCTAAATTATGTAGTGTGATCAGACATGATCTTCCAGAATTTTTATATTTTTCTTTGTACAGAGGTTATGTGTTCTGGGTGTTTTTTTTAAAAAAGGAAATATTCAAAAATCCCACAGATTGACATGTGTTGTCAATCTTCAGTGGACCAAATATTTTCCTCAGTAATCTCTGAAGTTTCTTTAAATTATATACTGAACACAGCAGAGAAATTGAATTGTTTTTGTACATAACACTGTCCACCTGAAATGTCACAAGTACTGGGAGGGGCTGGGTAGCTTGTGCATTGATGTTCTTAGAGGTAATAATGCATGAATTTCTTTTATAAACTGTTGGACTATGTATTTGATGTGTAAAATATGTTCAGTATTAATGTCAACCATTTCTTAAAGGTGAGCCTATAAATATTGTTGTATCATTTTCTTTGGTCAGTAACATTTGGACCAATAGTGCCACTTGGGTCAGGATTTTCTTCAGTGCCATTTAGCAAACCACCTGTCTTTGGTCTATGAAACTAGCAAAATTTTGTATAATGCATCAGAATACTTCAGAGTTGTCACACATTAAATTTCACATGAGAATTTCTTCACTATTCTTGAACTCAGCCCACTGAAGCTAGAGGAAAGGCCCTGAGAAGATTTATTTCTGTTAAGAGAAAAAAGCCTACATTTGCAGGCTTA